TTTGCTTATTTGCTTACAATAAATTGTTTTCATTTTTGCTAATTAAATATATAGTTTTAAAATTAAAAATTAGATCATATATTATAGTAATAATAATAATAATAATAATAATAAACTTTACTATTAAAATTCATAAATAATTTTTATAATTTATTTATATTACAATAATTACAAATGGCTTTAAAATAAATGCAGTTCTAAGCTTATTGAATGTTCAATATTTTAAGAGAATGCCTTATATATCTTATTTTATTTTTGATTAAGAATAGTTTTTACAAAGTAAATTTTATAAAGATTCGTTTTGTTATTACTTTTATATACCATATCTTTTTCAATTTTAATTTTGTTTTGCTTTAATATCGAGTGATTGTGAGATTTAAAATTTAATTTTAAATTTTTACTTAGCAAATTTATGCATTTTGTTTTCGTTTTTAAGCATTAAACACATATAAATCTTTTTAATAATTAATATTGTTTTAATTAAAAATGCTTTTCAATTTTCACACTCATGTTATTGGAGTCTAATATATATATATATATATGTATATATATTTAATGTTTTATAATATTTTACACTAACAATGTTTGTTTGTAGTTTTTGTGCTAATTTCATTTTTGTTTTTATTTTTTTTTTTCAATTTAAATTTCTTAAAATGTTCTTTTTGTTAATATTTAATTTGGAATATTTTAAAAATCTTTTTCAATATTTTTTCATATTTCTTAAAAGCGTTTATTCTGTTTGAGATATAATATATAATACACACCATATTTTCTAATTTAAAGAATGTGCTAATTTAAAAAATGATTTCCCTAATTACGCATATAAACAATGAATTTATTTATAAATGTTTGATTCTTAAAATTTTTTATTAATAGATATATATTATATATTTTGTTTATAACTTTTCATATTCAACCACTAACTAAAATGAATTGCTTTCAATTTTCTACTCTGTTCAAACCAATTTACATTTAATTTTCTACCACATTTGCTTTTCAATTTGATTTCGTTTTTTATTATTCAACCATGAAACATGCATTTAAGTATATATAATATATTCTATATACATATAAGTCAATAAATTTGCTAATAACATTATTAACAACTTCTTCATAAATTTATTTACATACATAATTTTTAAATCTTTATGCTTTCATTAATCATTATTCATAATTTATATTAAATTTATCATTAAAGATTATTTATTGCTTATCGAATTTTACCCATTTATTTTGTTGTACATTTGACGGACTTACACTGATTTTTTTTTAATATTAAATTACAGAAATATTTTATATAATAAAAATTATAAATAAATCATTTAAAATTTATACATATTTTTTTTTGTTTTTGAAAAAAATTAACGGCAGTTTTGTATTAATAATAGTTTATTAAAATTGGTCTATGTTAATAATTAAATAGGAATATTATTTTTATTAATTAAGATTTAGTTATTTATGTATATTTCTGTGGGAGTTTATTATTCCATGTGTTCTCTATTATTTTATTTTTTTGAGAGGATAATTTTTTTTTTTTTTTTGTCACTGATAAATAAATTGACAAAAAAATTAATTTAAAATAATATATTTTAAAATTCGGAGCAGGACTTAAACTTAATACAAAAAAATTTTTTTTCATAAAACAGAATGTTCATGTAGTTTCGCATTAAAATTAATTTATATATGAATAAAATATTATAATTAAAATTATACAAATATTTAAAATATAAATTGAAATAAAATAAAAAATAAATTTAATAAGTAATAGAGTCAGTATATTGGTTGTTATGAAATATATAATAAATAATCATGGATTCTAACAGAATATGTAGAAAAATTACTCAAGCAAAAATTTCTACGGTAATACCATCAAGGTATACATATTACATAAGGAAGGATGAAAATGTCCTAGCAAGTAAATAAAATAAGATGACGCCTCATAAGAATCAAAGTTAGGAAAGTTTTCAATATTATTAAAATTGAAATAGATTTCGCTGTCAGAAATATGGAAATTGAGTGAACGCCGGTTATATGGCCTGGAAGCAATGCAAAAATTAAAGAAAATTTACAAAGAGTGTTGGCTTTTAAGAAGAATTTGCGATTTGAGAAACCAACATCTGGAGAGTTTTCAAAACCAGAAATGTAGGAAATCAATTCTGCTTAGAGGAACAGGGAAATTGAATGAACAGCTATTGTAGATGTAAAGAGAAAGAAATACATAGGAGACGACGCACAAAAACTGTTAAGAAAGGATCTCACATTAAAGGAATGACAGATAAGTTTTTCAGGGATTTAGAAACAGTTCCAAAGAGTTCAAACAGATTAAAGTCTGAGCTTTAAACACAGGCGGCATTGTTATGACAAATCTCATTGTATTTACCGTGGAACTTAAATATTCTGTTTATACATACTATGATATATTCCATTTAGATGTTTTAAGAAAAAAATGATTTACAAATATGTACAGCATTAATACCTAACAAAATATCTAAAATATGATTAGAAATGACATTATTTCTTAATACTATATAGAGTGAATATTGGCATATCTGCTGTTGTTATAATCCAATGGAGCCTGAATAGCGGTAATATATAAGGATAACAGAACTATATATTTCAATAGTGATCACATTACGTTTAGAAGCCACTTATTCTTATCAACTACTGTTCAGCTTTTCCAACAAAGATAACAAAATTATTATAGTTGTATGTAGACATTGCTGCCATAAAAACTTTAGCAAAAGCTAAAATTTTTGCTAATTTTAAATAAATTAATAATGGCCCAATCTTCTCGGTATAAATCTTCTGGATTTAATACATTTGAAAGTTTATGTATATTTACTTTTTAATTGTTTTTTTGTTTTCGATGATTTGATCTCCCTTTGATTCATTTATTTGTCGAAAAACTTAAGGCAATTTTAATTACCGGAATTAATTATAACTATATATATCAGGATATCGAAACAGTCAAAATGTTGGCATAATTCCTGTTGGGAATGCTGCTTCAACTGCATTTCAATATCTTATTTGGAGGGTTGGAGACCCATTTAAGAGGCCAAGTTAGTTCACTATGATCTAAGCTAATTCGTATCTTCCTAGAAATACAATCTTCCCTTCTTTCAAACTCAACGAAATATAATTAAATTCAAGTTTTCCATTGCATATATCTCGACAGGCTACAGGTTAGACGAGTTCACACTAAAGCGTTTACATGAGAATTACATGTCAGAATATATTCAATAATTATTTGAAAAAATAGGTTTTTAATGACCTGCAGTTTGAGTAATATTTCCTATATAAGTGTGGATTTCTAAAGTATATAAAATACTAGATATTAATTATCAAGAACTGGTATGTTAATAATGTAAAAGATCAATAAATAAAACAATCACAAAATAAAATTCCTCTTTTGTGTGGGAAAATAAAACCATAAAAAAATTGAAACCATAAAAATGGGGAAAAACTTAATTGTATGAGTTAAGATTTACATTTTAGCGATACTAAAAATATATAATAAAATCTTATAAATTTAAATTGATCGATGAAACAGTTGGACGAATTGAAATATCACGTCATTTATTAATTGCTTAAATTATTTTATTGTGAATATAAAATTTAAAACAAGAGTAATTATATTTTTTTTTCGACAAAACCATATATGAAGGTATTTACTTAACATCTTAAATAGGTAGTATATATTAATATATAAAACATATGTAATCATAAATGCCATCACCTGAGGAAGGACTTAATTATTATTATAAATAAATTTTCATATTAAACATTTTTACACTGTACATTTGAACTTAAACATTTTTTTCAACGAATCACAGCAATTTAAATATTTTTACATAATAATTAATTTTTATTTTTATATTTATTAAAAACCTAATAAATTATTTTATTTGTATTAAAATTAAATTAATATATATTTAAAAAATATAAATAATAGCATGGAATAATAATGATAGAAAATAATAGAATCAGAAATATTTTAAATTAATTTAAAAAGTAAAAAAAAATAAAGTATATAAGTATATGCAATTAAAAAAAATAAAAATTAATCAATAATATAATTTTTTATATTATATGTAAAGAAAAAGAATTATATTATTAATGTAGAATTTTTAACAAAATGTGAGAATATTTTGAAAATAACATTACTAAATAAATGCATAAATAAAAAGTAAAAAAAATAAAGTATATAAATATAGGCAATTAAAATAAATAAAAATTGTTATATAATATATTTTTTTAAAGTATATATAATGAAAAATAATTATATAATTAATGTAGAGCTTTTAACAAAGTGTGAGAATATTTTGAAAATAACATTATTAAATATATGTATATATTAAAAGAAAAAAAAAACAAAGTTTATAAATATAGGCAATTAAAATAAATAAAAATTGATAATTAATATAATTTTTTATATTATATATAATGAAATATAATTATATTATTAATACAGAACTTTTAACAAAGTGTGAGCATATTTTTAACTTAAAATGTAAGAAAAAGTCTTAAAAAATGTGTATAAATAAAAATTCTACTTAAAATAAAATTAAAAATAAAACTACTTTAATACATAAAACTAATAATAAAATTCGTTATTGTTGTAATGGGCTATTGCTCCTTTTCATCGCTGAAATTCGATGCGTTCGTATTTTTGCGTAGATGATTTCTAAGCATAACTAAATTTCGACTCAACTGCAAATTATTCGGCATACCAATACCCGTTGTTGTTGCCGTTGAAGTGGTCTGTGTATGTGGAAGTGTATTGCAAGAATTTGGCATGGCCAGAGCTGGAAATGCACTATTCATACCGGCACAACCCACAAAACCAGCTGAAGCTGTCGATGTTGTAGGTGAAGTAGCGCCAGCACTGCATAATGTACTACCACTACTAGATAGACCCACGCCCAACAGTAATTCATGGGCGAGTATTGTAGGTAAATGTTAAGTGCTATTTTTTAGTGGACCTGATGATAGTGAACTACTACTAACACCGGAATCGCTGGATTTCTCACTTAAACCACCTCCACGTGTTAGGGTATCATCACCCAAAAGACCGCTACCTATTAATGCCTTCTTTCCTACACGTGCTGGTAATCCAACTTTGAATGGATTTTCTTTTTGGCGTCGTGCACTTTCGACACGTTTCATAATTTCACTTGAACACTTGGTGACCACATCGTCTAAGCTATTCGAATCATCAGTGGAGTTTACGGCTTGTGTGGGTGTTTGCGAGGTGGGAACTGGTGAGCCTTCATAACAACCTGAATCACGTGGAAAATGACGGCGGCCAAATGGTGAAGCGGCATGTTTTTTGTTGATGTTATTTAAACGTGCTTCATCGTTTTCTGAGCTGGAACCAGCTATGTCACCATCAGAACCTGTGTGTGAGAAATTAGAAGCTGTTGATGAAAGTGGATTAGTTAGTAAAGGAACTGTGCAATTTTGGTAAGAAAAAATTGAATTCGTTGTTAAATACTATTAAAGGGTTAGTGAACTTACATTCTATGTCGTGCAATAGTTGCACTGCAGTTAATAGTTTTGCACGATGATCCTGATTGATAATACCCAAATAATCCAAATCGGCTGGTTCAAGTTCTTTGAAGAGTTCCAAGTCTTCGTAACTGCAATAAAATAATAAATTTGCATAAATGGAATTTATTTTTCCTTAAGGTATTTTTAATAATATTTAAAAAGATATGTATACTATGATAGAAGAATATATGAAAATAAAAAAAGTGATAAAATCACATATGAAAAAAATTATTTCAAAAAATATTAAAATAAAATAAAATAAACTAAAGAATTTTAAAATATATTTTATATTTTCTTCTTTTAAATTAGAAAATAGTTTTTTTTTTATTTTACTAAATATTTAACCTTTTATAAACATTTTATTGTCACAAATTTACACTGTTTTGAATTAAATTTGATGGATTAAATAAAAAAAATATATGAAATATTATTTTTATATTAGAGGTTGGACAAATATATAACTATATGTAAAAAAAACTGTTCTAATAAAATTAAAGATATCTAAAATATTACTTTTTATATATACTTTACAAATATGTTAATTATGTGTACATATAAACATTATTTTATTTTAGATATAATTTTTCATAGTGATTATTAAAATTAATTTGATACATATATAATAAAAAATAAAAAAAAATTTTAATACAGTTTTAGCATTTTTAATATATACACAGAAAATAACTCTTTTATATAAATTTGAAGAATATAAAATGTTATTTATATATTTCTCTTTTTTTATTTTATAATATTTTTTAATATTTTAATATTTTTTTTTTTAGTATTTTAAATATTTTATTGGATTTTTTTTTAGTTACTTCATTTCTATAAATTAATACTTTATTTTAATTTAATTTGAGATTTCAGTTTATTTGACTTTCATAAATTAAATTTACATTTCTATTTCTCTTCTCCTCTCGCATATTCAATTAAAATTGCAAATTTTTATTTTTATTGATAACAAAAAAAAAAATAAAATTTATTTCCTTTAGCAATTCATGCTTACCCATTTAAAACAAAGACTGAAGTGTACTCTTTCAAACCGATACGGAATAGTAAATCCTCGACAGAGCTAGGACCATTGCTGTTAACATGTCGACCAGCAGTTGTTAGATTTTTGCTATTTGAATTTTTCATACGCTGCTCAGGCAGTACTTCCACATTGATGAACTTAAAATGACCCACTCGACCGTGACAACGACCCTTCCAAATGCCAGAGGCATTCATCGACAATACATCGATAGTGTCACCTTTCTAAAAATTTAAAATAAAGCGCATAGCATATAGCACATAGCATATAGATATATACATAGTATGGCAAAGCAAAAAAGAAATATAAGTTAAAATCAAAATAATATGAAAATCTCTTTCTGCTCAAAAGCAAATATTTTCATTTAATATTTTTCAGTTGAAATTTTCCTTTAAATCTCAAAAATCTCAAAATATTTGTGCATACGAGTATAGATGAAGAAAAGTTGAGTTACTGATTTTGCACTTGACTGCTGACAATTTCATCGATAATCTCAAAAGCAATACTTAAAGCAAATTTTTTAACAGTTTTGCTTGCTTATGCTTTTGTGTTAATATGAAAATATTTGAAAATAAAATAAGCAGTGGGAGGAGTAGTAGTGGGAGAAGGATTGATAGGAAAAATAGTGGTAGTAGGAATTGGAGTTAACTTACCTTAAACTTAAGTGCGTCCTTATCATAAGGATTTGGCATGCTGTCGACAAGTGCTTTGGCTTTACAAATTGGAACTAACGAAGTACGATCTTCTGTCGATATGGAGCTTTGTGGACTGCCAGGACGTACTAGAGCTTGAGTACCTAAAAATCAAAACATATTGTATGCATTAAATTGTGAAAAGGATATAAAATTGTTAAAATATTTATAATTAAATGGATTGGTTAGTTATTTTATAAAGGAAAGTGTTTAATAAGCGAGAGATTACTACTTTAAGAGTATATAATCTTTTTCTAGGTATTTTTTTTTTAATTTTGCTATTTTTTTCTTAATAACAATATTTACTTTTTGTTAAAAAATATATTTTGTTTTCAAAATTTGAAAAGTTTTGTTCATTAAAATTTTTGCAAAGCAATCTTAGTGTACTCGCATGAAATCCTTTTTCCAAAATATAAGTTCTTTTTTTTAATTTTAGCTTATTTTGGTTTATTTAATTTGTTTCTCACTTTTTTCTGGCAATTTTGTTGTTTTTTTTTGTTAGTTACTGCAATGTAATCTGTTTCAAGGCGAAGTACAAGTGATGGAAAAAATGAACTAACTGGGTTCAGTTCAGTAGCGCATTAAAAATTCATTAGGTTTGTAAAATTTGAAGTGTTTTTTCAAAAAAAAAAATTTAAAAACAAAACAAAATTTTTTGTTTTTATGGCATTGCCGAAAAACCACTTAAATAACAAGAACAACATCAACACAAACTAAAGAAAGCAAAAACAACAACAACAAAAAGTTGATAAAAGCAATAACAGCTGGCTAAACTTGAGAGTATGGCTGAAACCGTTAATAGACCAATATATGTGCAATGCTATCAAGAGCAAGCCATAAACGAACCGAACCGAACCGAAGCGAACCAACTAACAGCAGCAACCCAACAAATTCTCAACCATAAGAATGCCACAAATTCAAAGAAATAAACAGTTGAGAAAATCTGTAGTGGGAGTTGCGATTGCCCATAGAAATGGTGGAGTTGTAAAAGCACTGAGCTCCATAGGATTGTAAGCGTATAAAAATAAAACTATATATACATAAATAACTTACTTGAACCGGAAGCACTGGGTAACTTTCCACTAACTGCCAGAGCATGCAAAAGCCTGATAGCTCATACTGCACTGTTGCTGTTAATGGTGGTGTTGTTGCTGTTACTATTTATGCTGCAACTTCTACTTCGACTCAACTCTTCTAACTTTACTAATTCTACATACATGTATACACATATATATATATATATATTCATACAATCTTTTATAAAGTCCAACGAAATGCGAAACTCACCGAAGGAAATTGGCGCATTTAATGAAAATGGCAGGAACTTTGTTGCCACAAAGGATACTTCAAGGGATTTTAGCAATTCCCAAGATAATACCGACCGTGGCAGTATGAGCGATCAGGCTTTTGCATGCTCTGCAAGTTCAGTGGAAAGTTTACCCAGTGCTTCCGGTTCAAGTAAGTTATTTATGTATATATAGTTTTATTTTTATACGCTTACAATCCTATGGAGCTCAGTGCTTTTACAACTCCAACATTTCTATGGGCAATCGCAACTCCCACTACAGATTTTCTCAACTGTTTATTTCTTTGAATTTGTGGCATTCTTATGGTTGAGAATTTGTTGGGTTGCTGCTGTTAGTTGGTTCGGTTCGGTTCGGTTCGTTTATGGCTTGCTCTTGATAGCATTGCACATATATTGGTCTATTAACGGTTTCAGCCATACTCTCAAGTTTAGCCAGCTGTTATTGCTTTTATCAACTTTTTGTTGTTGTTGTTTTTGCTTTCTTTAGTTTGTGTTGATGTTGTTCTTGTTATTTAAGTGGTTTTTCGGCAATGCCATAAAAACAAAAAATTTTGTTTTGTTTTTAAATTTTTTTTTTTGAAAAAACACTTCAAATTTTACAAACCTAATGAATTTTTAATGCGCTACTGAACTGAACCCAGTTAGTTCATTTTTTCCATCACTTGTACTTCGCCTTGAAACAGATTACATTGCAGTAACTAACAAAAAAAAACAACAAAATTGCCAGAAAAAAGTGAGAAACAAATTAAATAAACCAAAATAAGCTAAAATTAAAAAAAAGAACTTATATTTTGGAAAAAGGATTTCATGCGAGTACACTAAGATTGCTTTGCAAAAATTTTAATGAACAAAACTTTTCAAATTTTGAAAACAAAATATATTTTTTAACAAAAAGTAAATATTGTTATTAAGAAAAAAATAGCAAAATTAAAAAAAAAATACCTAGAAAAAGATTATATACTCTTAAAGTAGTAATCTCTCGCTTATTAAACACTTTCCTTTATAAAATAACTAACCAATCCATTTAATTATAAATATTTTAACAATTTTATATCCTTTTCACAATTTAATGCATACAATATGTTTTGATTTTTAGGTACTCAAGCTCTAGTACGTCCTGGCAGTCCACAAAGCTCCATATCGACAGAAGATCGTACTTCGTTAGTTCCAATTTGTAAAGCCAAAGCACTTGTCGACAGCATGCCAAATCCTTATGATAAGGACGCACTTAAGTTTAAGGTAAGTTAACTCCAATTCCTACTACCACTATTTTTCCTATCAATCCTTCTCCCACTACTACTCCTCCCACTGCTTATTTTATTTTCAAATATTTTCATATTAACACAAAAGCATAAGCAAGCAAAACTGTTAAAAAATTTGCTTTAAGTATTGCTTTTGAGATTATCGATGAAATTGTCAGCAGTCAAGTGCAAAATCAGTAACTCAACTTTTCTTCATCTATACTCGTATGCACAAATATTTTGAGATTTTTGAGATTTAAAGGAAAATTTCAACTGAAAAATATTAAATGAAAATATTTGCTTTTGAGCAGAAAGAGATTTTCATATTATTTTGATTTTAACTTATATTTCTTTTTTGCTTTGCCATACTATGTATATATCTATATGCTATGTGCTATATGCTATGCGCTTTATTTTAAATTTTTAGAAAGGTGACACTATCGATGTATTGTCGATGAATGCCTCTGGCATTTGGAAGGGTCGTTGTCACGGTCGAGTGGGTCATTTTAAGTTCATCAATGTGGAAGTACTGCCTGAGCAGCGTATGAAAAATTCAAATAGCAAAAATCTAACAACTGCTGGTCGACATGTTAACAGCAATGGTCCTAGCTCTGTCGAGGATTTACTATTCCGTATCGGTTTGAAAGAGTACACTTCAGTCTTTGTTTTAAATGGGTAAGCATGAATTGCTAAAGGAAATAAATTTTATTTTTTTTTTTGTTATCAATAAAAATAAAAATTTGCAATTTTAATTGAATATGCGAGAGGAGAAGAGAAATAGAAATGTAAATTTAATTTATGAAAGTCAAATAAACTGAAATCTCAAATTAAATTAAAATAAAGTATTAATTTGTAGAAATGAAGTAACTAAAAAAAAATACAATAAAATATTTAAAATACTAACAGAAATTGTTTACAAATCTTATAAAATAAAAAAAGAGAAATGGTATAAATAACATTTTATATTCTTTAACTTTATATAAAATAGTTATTTTCTGTGTAATTAAGTGAATGAAAAAATATATTTAAAATGCTAAAACTATATTAAAATTTTTTTTTTTTATTTTTTATTATACATGTATCAAATTTATTAAAATTAATCACTATGAAAAATTATATCTAAAATAAAAAATAATTTTTATATGTACACATAGTAACATATTTGTCAAAGTTATTATATAAAAAGTAGTATTTTAGAAGTAGTAATTTTATTAGAACAGTTTTTTTACATATAGTTATATATTTGTCCAAGCTCTAATATAAAAATAATATTTCATATATTTTTTTTACTTAATCCATCAAATTTAATTCAAAACAGTGTAAATTTGTGACAGTAAAATGTTTATAAAAAGTTAAATATTTAATAAAATTAAAATAAAACTATTTTCTCATATAAGAGAAGAAAATATAAAATATATTTTAAAATTCTTTATTTATTTTATTTTATTTTATTTTAATACTTTTTGAAATAATTTTTTCTCATATGTGATTTTATCACTTTTTTTATTTTCATATATTCTTTTATCATACTATACATATCTTTTTAAAAATTATTAAAAATACCTTAAGGAAAAATAAATTCCATTTATGCAAATTTATTACTTTATTGCAGTTACGAAGACTTGGAACTCTTCAAAGAACTTGAACCAGCCGATTTGGATTATTTGGGTATTATCAATCAGGATCATCGTGCAAAACTATTAACTGCAGTGCAACTATTGCACGACATAGAATGTAAGTTCACTAACCCTTTAATAGTATTTAACAACGAATTCAATTTTTTCTTACCAAAATTGCACAGTTCCTTTACTAACTAATCCACTTTCATCAACAGCTTCTAATTTCTCACACACAGGTTCTGATGGTGACATAGCTGGTTCCAGCTCAGAAAACGATGAAGCACGTTTAAATAACATCAACAAAAAACATGCCGCTTCACCATTTGGCCGCCGTCATTTTCCACGTGATTCAGGTTGTTATGAAGGCTCACCAGTTCCCACCTCGCAAACACCCACACAAGCCGTAAACTCCACTGATGATTCGAATAGCTTAGACGATGTGGTCACCAAGTGTTCAAGTGAAATTATGAAACGTGTCGAAAGTGCACGACGCCAAAAAGAAAATCCATTCAAAGTTGGATTACCAGCACGTGTAGGAAAGAAGGCATTAATAGGTAGCGGTCTTTTGGGTGATGATACCCTAACACGTGGAGGTGGTTTAAGTGAGAAATCCAGCGATTCCGGTGTTAGTAGTAGTTCACTATCATCAGGTCCACTAAAAAATAGCACTTAACATTTACCTACAATACTCGCCCATGAATTACTGTTGGGCGTGGGTCTATCTAGTAGTGGTAGTACATTATGCAGTGCTGGCGCTACTTCACCTACAACATCGACAGCTTCAGCTGGTTTTGTGGGTTGTGCCGGTATGAATAGTGCATTTCCAGCTCTGGCCATGCCAAATTCTTGCAATACACTTCCACATACACAGACCACTTCAACGGCAACAACAACGGGTATTGGCATGCCGAATAATTTGCAGTTGAGTCGAAATTTAGTTATGCTTAGAAATCATCTACGCAAAAATACGAACGCATCGAATTTCAGCGATGAAAAGGAGCAATAGCCCATTACAACAATAACGAATTTTATTATTAGTTTTATGTATTAAAGTAGTTTTATTTATAATTTTATTAATTTAATTTTAAGTAGAATTTTTATTTATACACATTTTTTAAGACTTTTTCTTACATTTTAAGTTAAAAATATGCTCACACTTTGTTAAAAGTTCTGTATTAATAATATAATTATTTTTCATTATATATAATATAAAAAATATATTAATTATCAATTTTTATTTATTTTAATTGCCTATATTTATAAACTTTGGTTTTTTTTTCTTTTAATATATACATATATTTAATAATGTTAATTTCAAAATATTCTCACACTTTGTTAAAAGTTCTACATTAATTATATAATTATTTTTCATTATATATACTTTAAAAAAAATATATTATTTAACAATTTTTATTTATTTTAATTGCCTATATTTATATACTTTATTTTTTTTACTTTTTATTTATGCATTTATTTAAAAATGTTATTTTCAAAATATTCTCACACTTTGTTAAAAATTCTACATTAATAATATAATTCTTTTTCTTTACATATAATATAAAAAATTATATTATTAATTTATTTTTATTTTTTTTAATTGCATATATTTATATACTTTTTTTTTACTTTTTAAATTAATTTAAAATATTTCTGATTCTATTATTTTCTATCATTATTATTCCATGCTATTATTTATATTTTTTAAATATATATTAATTTAATTTTAATACAAATAAAATAATTTATTAGGTTTTTAATAAATATAAAAATAAAAATTAATTATTATGTAAAAATATTTAAATTGCTGTGATTCGTTGAAAAAAATGTTTAAGTTCAAATGTACAGTGTAAAAATGTTTAATATGAAAATTTATTTATAATAATAATTAAGTCCTTCCTCAGGTGATGGCATTTATGATTACATATGTTTTATATATTAATATATACTACCTATTTAAGATGTTAAGTAAATACCTTCATATATGGTTTTGTCGAAAAAAAAATATATAATTACTCTTGTTTTAAATTTTATATTCACAATAAAATAATTTAAGCAATTAATAAATGACGTGATATTTCAATTCGTCCAACTGTTTCATCGATCAATTTAAATTTATAAGATTTTATTATATATTTTTAGTATCGCTAAAATGTAAATCTTAACTCATACAATTAAGTTTTTCCCCATTTTTATGGTTTCAATTTTTTTATGGTTTTATTTTCCCACACAAAAGAGGAATTTTATTTTGTGATTGTTTTATTTATTGATCTTTTACATTATTAACATACCAGTTCTTGATAATTAATATCTAGTATTTTATATACTTTAGAAATCCACACTTGTATAGGAAATATTACTCAAACTGCAGGTCATTAAAAACCTATTTTTTCAAATAATTATTGAACATATTCTGATATGTAATTCTCATGTAAACGCTTTAGTGTGAACTCGTCCAACCTGTAGCCTGTCGAGGTATATGCAATGGAAAACATGAATTTAATTAGATTTCGTTGGGTTTGAAAGAAGGGAAGATTGTAGTTCTAGGAAGATATGAACTAGCCTAGATCATAGTGAACTAACTTGGCCTCTTAAATGGGTCTCCAACCCTCCAAATAAGATATTGAAATGCAGTTGAAGCAGCATTGCCAACAGGAATTATGCCAACATTTTGGCTGTTTCGATATCCTGATATATATAGTTATAATTAAGTCGGGTAATTAAAATTGCCTTAAGTTTTTCGACAAATAAATGAATCAAAGGGAGATCAAATCATCGAAAAAAAAACAATTAAAAAGTAAATATACATAAACTTTCAAATGTATTAAATCCAGAAGATTTATACCGAGAAGATTGGGCCATTATTAATTTATTTAAAATTGGCAAAAATTTTAGCTTTTGCTAAAGTTTTCTTTTTATGGCAGCAATGTCTACATACAACTATAATAATTTTGTTATCTTTGTTGGAAAAGCTGAACAGTAGTTGATAAGAATAAGTGGCTTCTAAACGTAATGTGATTACTATTGAAATAAATAGCTCTGTTACCCTTATATATTACCGCTATTCAGGCTCCACAGCAGATATACCATTATTCACTCTATATAGTATTAAAAAATAATGTCATTTCTATTCATATTTTAGATATTTTGCTAGGCATTAATGCTGTACATATTTGTAAATCATTTTTCTCTTAAAACATCTAAATGGAATATATCATAGTATGTATTAACAGAATATTTAAGTTCCACGGTAAATACAATGAGATTTGTCATAACAATGCCGCCAGTATTTAAAGCTCAGACTTTAATCTGTTTGAACTCTTTGAAACTGTTTCTAAATCCCTGAAAAACTTATCTGCGATTCCTTCAATGTGAGATCCTTTCTTAGCACATTTTGTGCGTCGTCTCCTATGTATTTCTTTCTCTTTATATCTTAAATAGCTGTTTATTCAATTGCCTTGTTCCGCTTAGCAGAATTGATTTCCTACATTTCTGGTTTTGAAAACTTTCCAGATGTAGGTTTCTTAAATTGCAAATTCTTCTTAAAAGCCAACACTCTTTGTAAATTTTCTTTAGTTTTTGCATTGCATCCAGGCCATATAACCGGCGTTCACTCAATTTCCATATTTCTGACAGCGAAATCTATTTCAATTTTAATGATATTGAAAACTTCCCTAACTTTGCTTCTTATGAGGCGTCATCTTATTTTATTTACTTGCTAGGACATTTTCATTCCTTCCTTGATGTATTGTATACCTTGATGTTATTACCGTAGAAATTATTTGCTTGAGTAATTTTCTACATATCTGTTAGAAATCATGATATTTTATTTTATATATTTCATAACAACAAATATACTGATCTATTACTTATTAAATTATTTTTTATTTTATTGCAATTTATATTTTAAATATTTTATGTTTATTATTTTAATTATTAATATTTATTCAATATATAAATTAATTTTAATCGAACTACAGAACATTCTGTTTTTATGAAAATAAAATTTTTTATTTGTATTAAAAGTTTAAAGTCCTGTCCGAATTTATAAATATTATTATTTAAATTAATTTTTTTTTGTCAATTTATTTATTCCAGTGACAATATCCTCTCAAAAAATAAAATAATAGCAGAACACATGGGAAGTAATAACTTCCACAGAAATATACATAAATAACTAAATCTTAATTAATAATAAATAACTGATTCCTATTTAAATTATTAAGCAATAGACCAATTTTAATAAACTATTATTAATACAAAACTGCCGTTAATTTTTTTCAAAAAAAAAAAAAAATATGTATAAATTTTAAATGATTTATTTATAATTTTTATTATATAAAATATTTCTGTAATTTAATATTAAAAAAAAATCAGTGTAAGTCCGTCAAATGTACAACAAAATAAATGGGTAAAATTCGATAAGCAATAAATAATCTTTAATGATAAATTTAATATAAATTATGAATAATGATTAATGAAAGCATAAAGATTTAAAAATTATGTATGTAAATAAATTTATGAAGAAGTTGTTAATAATGTTATTAGCAAATTTATTGACTTATATGTATATAGAATATATTATATATACTTAAATGCATGTTTCATGGTTGAATAATAAAAAACGAAATCAAATTGAAAAGCAAATGTGGTAGAAAATTAAATGTAAATTGGTTTGAACAGAGTAGAAAATTGAAAGCAATTCATTTTAGTTAGTGGTTGAATATGAAAAGTTATAAACAAAATATATAATATATATATTAATAAAAAATTTTAAGAATCAAACATTTATAAATAAATTCATTGTTTATATGCGTAATTAGGGAAATCATTTTTTAAATTAGCACATTCTTTAAATTAGAAAATATGGTGTGTATTATATATTATATCTCAAACAGAATAAACGCTTTTAAGAAATATGAAAAAATATTGAAAAAGATTTTTAAAATATTCCAAATTAAATATTAACAAAAAGAACATTTTAAGAAATTTAAATTGAAAAAAAAAAATAAAAACAAAAATGAAATTAGCACAAAAACTACAAACAAACATTGTTAGTGTAAAATATTATAAAACATTAAATATATATACATATATATATATATATATTAGACTCCAATAACATGAGTGTGAAAATTGAAAAGCATTTTTAATTAAAACAATATTAATTATTAAAAAGATTTATATGTGTTTAATGCTTAAAAACGAAAACAAAATGCATAAATTTGCTAAGTAAAAATTTAAAATTAAATTTTAAATCTCACAATCACTCGATATTAAAGCAAAACAAAATTAAAATTGAAAAAGATATGGTATATAAAAGTAATAACAAAACGAATCTTTATAAAATTTACTTTGTAAAAACTATTCTTAATCAAAAATAAAATAAGATATATAAGGCATTCTCTTAAAATATTGAACATTCAATAAGCTTAGAACTGCATTTATTTTAAAGCCATTTGTAATTATTGTAATATAAATAAATTATAAAAATTATTTATGAATTTTAATAGTAAAGTTTATTATTATTATTATTATTATTATTATTACTATAATATATGATCTAATTTTTAATTTTAAAACTATATATTTAATTAGCAAAAATGAAAACAATTTATTGTAAGCAAATAAGCAAA